GTCTACACCTATGGTGGCGTGTAGAGCACAGGCACTACCCGTGTACCTACATGTGACAGTGAAAGGCTCCAGCCCTGGGGAGGCAGTGGGACAGTATGCTGCTAAAAATACCCGTGTAGACATGGGAGGCACTGTTTGGGCATGTAGAGAGCCCGTGTAGGGTATATACCATGGGGGTTCAGCCAGAAACGTAGGGCCTGTGACTTACTCTACTCACCTAAGCCGCATCTCACTAGCTACACTGCTATTTATACCCATGTTAGCCGGGCGTGCAGCATCTGTCCTCCTCCAAATGTAGACATAGTCATAGATAGAAGCATACATTAATCCATCACAAGCAGGAACCCCCATTCTTTTATTTTTTAAATCCATGTCTGATATTGTCCCAATATATTTCCATGATAATTCTTCTAAAAAACCACCATAGGTAGTTTGAACTGTTTCCGAGAGGGTTTTTTTTTAAAGTCTCCTAGGAATTTAAGACTTTTTAAACACACAAAAAGATTTTCTAGAAATGTATTATTCCTGAGACTTACGACAGTAAAGTTAGCCTGGCTTAAAATGGTTCAGTTTTAAATATTTCTTTCCACAAACAAGCATCTCCATGATTATTTCTTTGCCAAATCTGTCCAGACAAGCAGAAAGTCCTCTTCTATAGGGAGACTACTGGATATACTGAAATATTAGTGTCATAGGGGACTGAACCAACTCCCATTGCCATCCGTGGAAAGGTATCTATAGACTCCCATGGGAGTTAGATCAGGCCCTAGATTTGGGCTTCGACAATTACATTTCCTCTTGAGAGAGTCTCCATGTTCACCGCAAACTAACTCATGATCTTTGAAAAAAGTGTGCATCTAGTGAGCAATCTGCCAGTGTAAGAAAACTTTGCTCAGCCAAACCACCGCATAGGTGCTGGAACTAAGGATGCTGAGGGTCCTGCTGCACCCCCTGGCTTGAAGTGGTTTCCATTATATACAGAGTTTTCAGTTTGGTTCAATGGCTCTACGCACCCACCACTATACAAATTGTTCCAGCTCCCCTGACCATAGCTAGAAAAAGCAGCTTCCATTTCTACAGTCAGTTAGAAAGAAACAGCTGGTGCTAGTGAGTCCTCACAATGAATACGTTCAGAATCTGAGACAGAGGAGACTGGGAAGCTTAGTGGAGGAATGATTTTTTTCCCCTCTGCAGTAGAGACGGCTCAAGTCCAACCTAACGTTTAACTAGTTTGAAGGAGAATTTTGGACAGAGTAAGATACACACAGTACACCCCCCCTATACATTCCATCACTTAGAACAGAAGAAAAAAGACGTACGTGGCTTCCGGCTCCTGGTGCTATAAAATAGTGAACTCAGCATGCAAGTCCTAAATCTTATTTTCATGTGAAATTAGCTGGGAAGGTGACTGGGAAGGCAGGAATGGTAGAGAAAAGATTTTCAGCAGTATTCTAACACATTAAGACTATGCTTTACTTAATGTTACACACAAAAAAACTATGTTAAAAGAAATTATGGTTGCAAAGTCAAGCACTCAAAAGTTAGTAAATGCCAGAATTAAGGTTGTCGGTTTAGCCTTAATTTGGTCCCCTTCTGTGTGCCCGTTCTGCGACAGTCTTTAATAACATGATTACATACTATTTTTTTTTTTCACACACACACACAGGACTTCACCTCATTCAGTGCACAGAATGAACAGTGCTCACTTAATGAGAGTGATTCGATATTTCGCTTTCTTCTCATTGTTCCATGGATAGCCTTAGGTTATAGTTACTGCACACTATTCAAATCCTGCTCTGAAGACAGAATTATTAAATTTTCTCCAGGGCTTTTCTATGGTGCTCATCCCTATACTATCCAAGTGCTTCACAAACATTAATTAACCTTCATAAAACCAGGGTGAGACCAGGAGATACTATGCCCATATTACATATGGGCAGCTGAGGCACAGAGACATTAAGGTCCAAAGTAGCCACTAATTTTGGGTGCCCAATTTGAGATGCCTGGGAACCTGGTTTTTCAGAGTACTTAGCAATATAGAGCATTTTAGATATTCAAGCACAGCTCCCACTGACTGATGGCTCATGTCAGCAAATCGCAAATATTACTCAAGGTTTACAGCTGTAGAGGTATGTGTGGGGCCTGAGAGAAGAGGGAGAGACTGTCTGCTCCTTTTACTCTATAATTAGCAGTACATATACTTAAAACTTCAGCAGCAGTCATGGCTCAGAAAGACAGGAGTCCAATTATCAATCGGTTTTCATCCCTGGAAAAGAATTAGCCTTTTTAACCACTATAGTTTCAAACATATTCTCAAGCTAAATATACGGCAACTCCACTTCTAGAAATGTATGATTAACCTAGCTGTAGTCCCTGTAGCACAGGGGTGGGCAAACTTTTTTGGCCCGAGGGCCACATTGGCATTGCGAAACTGTATGGAGGGCCGGGTAGGGCAGGCTGTGCCTCCCCAAACAGCCTGGACCCCACCCCTTATCCACCCCCTCCCACTTCCCACCCCCTGACTGCCCCCCTCAGAACCTCCAACCCATCCAACATCCCCTGATCCTTGTCCCCTGACCGCCCCCTCCCGGGACCTCCCCGCCCATAACCACCCCCCAGGACCCCACTCCCTATCCAGCCCCCCCACTCCCTGTCCCCTGACTGCCCCCCTGACCCCTATCCACACCCCCACCCCCAACAGCTCCCCCCAGGACTCCCACACCTATCCAACCCCCCCGTTCCCTGACTCTCCCAACCCCTATCCATACTCCCACTGCCTGACAGGCCTCCCCCCCCGGGATTCCAACGCCCCCTGTTCCCTGTGTGCCCCACCCCCGGAACCTCCGCCCCATCCAACTGCTCCCTGTCCCCTGACTGCCCCCTGGACTCCCTGCCCCTTATCCAACCCCCTTACCATGCTGCTCAGAGCAGCGGGAGCTCGCAGCCCCGCTGGAGCCAGCCACGCCGCTTGCACTGCCCAGCAGGAGCGGCAGGCCAAAGCGCAGGCAGCGCGGCGCACTGAAGCGGTAGGGGAGGGGCGGGGGACCAGCCTCCCCAGCCGGGAGCTCAGGGCCGGGCAGGACGGTCCCGCAGGCTGTAGTTTGCCCACCTCTGCTGCAGCAGATCGCCGACTCATCGGCACGGTCTCCTCCTGCTGGTTGTCCAGGAATTAGCTCAATTCCAGCCTCAAGAGCATCTCCTGCTGGCTGGTGCCTTGGCTGCCGCAGGCCCCGCGTCCCTCCTGGACCCCAGTGCCCTCTTATCTTGGAGTGTTGCCCCACAGCAGTCTCCACACTCTGGGTCTCCCCTCTGAGGGGAACCCATACCCCCTATGCCCACCTTGCCTCCATGGTGACTGCCAATCATCATCTAGCCCCCTTTCTCCGGGGCAAATTGTAGTCCATAATGACCACTCATCCTTGGCAAGGGGGTTGGACCAGCTGCCTTTGCCTATCCCTGGGCTGCATCTCAGCAGCCCCAGTACCCCCTTAGGCCTTTAACAAGGCCTCAGCCTGGAGAGTTGCCAGGCTGGAGCTCCCCAGCTCCACTTGCCTTTCTCCAGCACTGTTCTGCTTTGGGTACCCTGTGCTCCCAGGCAGCTAGGCCCTTCCCAATCCAAGGCTGGAGTGAGACTGACCCAGCCCTTCCCTTCGCCCTTGTTATACTGGCCCAGCCAGGCCCTGATTGGCTGCCTCAAGCCTGCTCATGATTGGCTCCCCGTGGCAGCCCTTTCCCAGGGCTGTCTTTAACCCCTTCCAAACTGGAGTGGGGTGACCACCCCGCTACAGTCCCCTAGTCAGACTTCCTGCCAATTAAGGATTTTTTCCCATAGTACATTTACTAATATTTTGTCCAGGCTAGATTTAAAATTTTCCAAATGGCAAGGAACAAATGCAGTTGGTGAAAGGAGGACAGACAGCATTCTAATCAGCAACATATTACATACTGTAGTTAGGGGAGAGCAAGAGCAACCTACAGATATGTTCCTTTATTCCAGGGTCTTCTAACCAACAACAAGAATCATACTCCAAAGAGTCACAATACTGTAAGAACATTTAGATCATCTAAGTAGCTCCTCATATAACTCGGATTGTCACAAACAATACCTCAAAAATTGTTACCTAGGACAAGGCACTACAGCAGTGGTCCCCAATCTTTCTGTTGCTATCGCATATTCATGTTCCCAGAAGAGTGTGGCAGGTGCCGGACAACCAGCCGCCAAAATGCCACCAAGAAGCAGCGTCATCAAGAAGCGTTGGTTGTCCGGTGGCCGCACTCCTCGGCGGTGGGTTGTCCGGCGGAAGCGCTCCCTTGTCAGTAGGCGGGCGCACATAAATGCCCTGGCGGGTGCCATGGCACCCCCGTTGGAGACCACTGCACTAGAGGCACTTTAATACAGCCAGGTACAGGGCTTTAGATATTCCAATAATAGTCATGTGGAAACTTGAAATATTGATACTCACCACAGAGATGATACCCAGAACTGATATAACTAAAACATGGCATGGTAACATTCTGTTTAGTTTTTCTGATAGTGTGAATGGAAAGTTGGTATCATTAAACCCAGAGGGACAGATCCTCAGCCAGTGTAAGTGTACGTAGATCCACTGAAATGACTGGGGCTCCACTGATTTACACCAGTTGAAGATCTGGTCCCAAGCATCTGGACCTATTTGAGTACTGCCTGGTGTGACTGGCAAAGGGCTGCAGGGCTCTGCGTAGAATGGATCAGATGGATACTCACAAGCTTCACCTCTTATGAAATATAAAATTGAAATTACACTAGGGTTAAAATACATATAGGAAACCCTGAAAATCACTCACAGTAAGCCACAAAACTGTTCTTATGGAGCTCCTAATGCACTGTACTACTAATTCCTGACTTCTATGTTAATAGAAAGCTGCCAGTTGGAAAAGAAGGGTGTAATTATTTGTGAAGGAAAGGCTGGGTTAAAAAAATTTAGCAACCAACAAGCAAAAAGCTCCAACAAAATTCATACCATTCAATCCACAAGCTTGTTCCTTGTCTGTTGTGGTCTCCCGCCGTTGCCTTAAAGCATTTTGAAGGATATTTGCCCTGTAGATTATGTGTGGGTATGCTATTCCCTCTTCCAGTGGATGCTTTTTCACAGGCTCAATGAAGTAGTCCCCATGGGGCAGACGGAAATATCCAGTCTGAAAATAAGTACATAAATGTTAATTTCAACTGCACCTGTCCAGCACTCTGATTCAAATCTGAATGAGTCTGGATGTTCCCTCACATCAGCAGCTTTCGGCTTTTCTGATAAGTTAGCCATGTTTCACTCAACAGCTTTAAATGAAAACAATAGGGTTTGTTTGTTTTTTACTCCTTTTTTTTCTTTGTAACATAAGATACCAAAAGGGAAACTTTGAAGTCTTGCTAGGAACTCAGAACTTGAGGGTAATAAAAATGGAGGATGTTGCTATGACAACTCGCTAGCATTATAGTCCTGCTGGGCCCAGCTTACAAGAGTTGCTCACATGAACTCCTTTCTAAGAAGCTCTGCCCCTCTTTATCATGGCAAAGGTTGTCAGACTTCAACAACGCTGACAAAAGAGCAAAGTTAATCAGCCAAAATGCTGCATTCATGATACAGTAGAATAGTCTTTTGTTTTCCTAGGGCTGTGCACCTGTGCCCTAGACAACAAAACTTGTATAGAGGCTGTTGCACAATGGGGAAGAATAATACCCTCCACTGAAGGAATTACAGGATGCAATTTCATGGCCAGTATTATACTGGAGCTCAGACTAGATGGTCCTAGTGGTCCCTTCTAGTCTTACAATTTATGAAAGCGTTACTCTCCTCTGACCTCACAGTGAAACAGGGGTGTTTTTTCCATAGATTTTAAGGCCAGAAGGAACCATTATGATCACATAGTCTGACCTCCTGCATAACACACGCTGTAGAATTTCTCCCAATTTCTCCATCAACCTCATAACTTCTGGCTGAGCTAGAGCATCTTTGATTAAAGACATCCAATCTTGATTTCATGGGATTGTTTTAAAAACAGGACAGCACAGCCACTCACTTCAGCATACACATTGGACCAATAGCAATTCTGCTTATAGACGTGCTTTAGATCCAACACCAGCTGCACATCACCAGGCGTGTGGTAGATTGATGATCCTCCCCAGCTATCCACCCTCCCTTTTTGTCTCATTCTGGTCCCTGAACTCTCCTCCTTTCCTAGCTTCATACAAGGAAGGCAGAAAAGATCACCTGGCAGACACACTCCAGTCTTGCATAGCCAAATTCACAAGAAAGGACAGACACACGTGAAAGAAAAATCATCATATTCTCAATTCCCCATGTCAGCAAGAATAATTAATCATGAGCTATGTGTATTACCTGCCCCACAGCCAGCCCAAGTCCAAGAAGTCCAGTACGGATCCAACAAGTCCTGCTCCAAGGTTCACCCTTCTCCAGACACTTGCTACAAACCTCCAGTGCACAATCCACACCTCTTAATGTCCATAAATATCTTGAGTTGAGGGATTGGGGTGCAGGCATTCATAGCCTGTTTTTCCCTGTGCATTCCCCAAGGGGAAGGAGGTGGGAAGTGAATTAAATGAACTTTCCTCTGAGTTTTTGTTATCTGCATCATTAATGCCTCTATTGCAGCATCTTTCCCTCCAGCCCAATTTCCATTGCAAATGAAAGTAAAAATACCAAGGTTGCCCTTCTTTTAAAAAAAAAAAAAAAAAAAAGCCTTGTGATTTTATTGAGGATGTCAATATAAACTTCAAGACCCCGTGAAGGTTTACAGATTCTGGATTAGGGCTCAAGTTCACAAAGGTTTACTGATCTGGGTTTAAATGAGAATATAAATAATAAAAGAGTCAGGAGTCCCAGTTTTTAGCATAAAAACAAAATATACAAATCAGCTCTTCATGAGATACCATAAATCAAGGCTACTTTTGAAACAGGAGTCTGACAAACAATATTAAAGTACACAAATCCTAGCATTAAATCTGTGGTCAGCACAGATAAAGATGTCAAGCAAGCATGAGTCCAACAAATAGGAATGCAAAGGAGAGGCTATACAAGGTTAGGATGTTATATCAGGGTTGTATTAAGGCTACTTACTTAGTAATGAGAGGCCAGACTTCTCTTAAAAAGAGTGGGTTATAATGACAGTACTGCCTCCAAAACCCTAGTTCCAAACATCCCAAATTCTTGGAGAGTTTGGATCTCTATCTGAGCTTTATGCTCGGGCCAAATAATGTTGTATATAGTATAGAAGTTTGTTTAGGCGCTAGTAAACATAGTTAACACAACCTGCCCTCAGGCATCCCCACCAAAAACCATACTTTTTGCTGTGGATGGAGTATTTGTTTTCGGAGTCTTCTAGCTTCTCACTGTAATAAATTGTCCCAGGTCACCTCTGTTTTGAAACCTACAAAACTTGACAATAGCTAGACAGCTGGTGTGCTGTGATCACTACTTATTAGGCTAATCATAACAATCTTCTGCCCTCCCATAACAGTTCGTTGCAGCCACCTGTTGGGTCTCATAAACTTATGTTCAAAGCTTTATGAACCAGGGAGTCTTATTTGTGTGTGTGCACGCAGTGCCTAGCTAAACCCATGAGAAGAACCTCTATGAGCTACCACAAAAACAAACAAACAATCAGGAGGTCTCATGGCAAGAGTTGTACAAAACTTTGGTAAATGAAACCTGGAGAAGGTTACTGGGTTCAGAGATTTGTTACAAAACTTGAATCTCTCAGAGGTTTGCAAACCTTTTATGGGAACTGAGTCAGCCCAGCAAACTACCCACCCTCTATCTCTCTCTCCAATAGATCCTGGCTCACCCTTACCCTTTGTTGTGGTCTTCAAGGTGGTGGGACAGTTGGTCTGCAATCCTCTCCAAAGTCTTCAAGTAGTGGCAATCTTTAGGGGCAATGAAATGGCACACTCTCATTGAGTCCTCAGGAGGCAGAGCACATGGGCCTGCTCTTCCTTACCAAAAACTTGACTAGTGTCTGCAGGAGGGGAGGGAAGGAGTCATGCCAGTCCTCCCTTTGTACAGCAGTGGGACTATGAACTCCTCTGGTCCTGCTGCTGTTACTACTATTCTGTTCTATAAAAGTTCTTATATCACCCTCAATCACTATATAGCGTCTGAACACCTTAGAGTAGTGCACTGAAGTGTGACTAACATCTCTCATGTATGGTTTATTCTCCCATTCTCTCCTCAGGGGGAGAAGTGTGTGCGCAGTGTAGTGTTGTGCTAGAATATGATTTTTTTGTTTTACTTACACCCCTCCTCTCTTAGAGAAGGCAACATCAAAGAGGTACACCTTGTAATTGGAGTGGGAGTTGGTAAGATTTGTAACGGTCTTTTGTTTCTAAGAGAGTTTATTCCAGTGTGTCGGATCTGCCCACAAGAAAGCTCTGTCTCCTACCCAGATGACTTTAACCCTTGTGATAGAAAGTTCCATTGTGCGTCAGGAGTGGAGCTACTGATCATAGTCTTTATCCCAAAGCTTTAGTAGGTCTTTAGATGTACTGGGCCCAGGCTTTCGACTGTTTTGAAGATAAGGATCAAGACCTTGAACTTGACCCAATATTCTGTGGGAAACCAGTGTGGCAAGTGGAGGACAGGTTTGATGTGCTTGTGATAGCCCATGTTGCTGTGGAGATGTTCTGGCCCTTACACAGGGTTGCTGACTCATGATTTTATCATGAATCTTGCAATAGCTGGTGTTTGTCTTAAAGGCCCATTTCCTGGAATCCTTATACTAAGAGAGAATCTAATAAAAGATTTCATGAACTCTCAGTTGTAGAGAAAAGTTTGAAAAGGCTCAATACACAGCAGCCAAACAAGAACTCAAAATGTATTTTAAAATAATCTACTGATTTATTAATGCCTGGGTTTGTCAATATTGCTTATGTTATTCTGGGTTGACAGACCTCAGAAAACAGTTGTCACTGAAAGGGAATCATGAGACTCACAGTAAAACTAAGGTTTCAGAGTAACAGCCGTGTCAGTCTGTATTCGCAAAAAGAAAAGGAGTACTTGTGGCACCTTAGAGACTAACAAATTTATTTGAGCATAAGCTTTCGTGAGCTGCAGCTCACTTCATCGGATGCATGTAGTGGAAAATACAGTGGGGAGATTTTATATACACAGAGAACATGAAACAATGCCACTACATGCATCCGATGAAGTGAGCTGTAGCTCACGAAAGCTTATGCTCAAATAAATCTGTTAGTCTCTAAGGTGCCACAAGTACTCCTTTTTTTTAGTAAAACTAAGGAGTACTATAACCATCTGAACTAAAACGACTTATAAATGCATTAATACTGAAGCAATCCAAGATCTCAGAGCTATTCCCAGGCACAGGGAAAAATGTTTACTTACTATATGGTAGTGACCTTACAGACATATTGGGAGGATTAATGTTTGTTCGGCACTCTAGGATCTATTAAGCGTTCAGTTATGGGGCATCTGTGTCAGGAGACATTTTCTCCCATTTTCTGTTGTCTTGCAGACTTACGCTCACCAGCCTCTGGACCATATTGATAGTTAGATATTAGCATGACTGCAATGAAATAAAATGGCTGGGATGAAACTGATCTACTGCCAAGGGATTGAGTAGAATGTATTATATTCACAATGCAATGAATTTGCTTTTCGACAAGGAGAAAGGTCATGTAGAGAGAGTCAACTTTCATCTGCTGTAACAAAAATCAATTTGATCCACAGCAAGTATTTATGAATTTTACATTCTACTAACTTATTGGACTTGTCTGAACCTTCTTGACAAAGCAGATATGCCGGATCTCGGGGGGGGCTCACCTCGGGTCTCAAATACAGTCTCCTCCTGAGGTCTTTTTCCCCAGTTTATGAACAGATGGCAGAGGAGAGCTCATTCAGACCCTGGCTTACACGTGACTGGTCAAGTACTCTCATGTGGTGGCCTCTCTAAACCATTGCCCATATCTAATGAGATGAAACGAGGCACTATGCTGGGACCAATCCTCTTTGCTGTCTTCACAGCTGTTCTGAATTACGCAACTGACAAGCTTTATAATGGCATCTACATGAGGTACAGAACTGATGGAAAAGTCTTCTGTCTCCAAAGGCTCATGGCAAAGACAAAAAAGTCCATGAGGAACTCATATGTGAAGTCCTTTTTGTGGATGA